ATAAAGTTTTTTTTACTTTAAGTTCGTGAGAGTTAAGATCCATAGCTTGTAGTAGGTTATATTTTCTTCTTCCACTGTGTAATTTTGGCATTGTAAGTAGAATTACCCGTTTGTTAATGAAGGAAAAAGTGAAAAATTTTATACCTTGGGAATCCTACATAACCACTACTTTTAAAAACCTTTAAGATATCCATTGTTTCAAACATACTAGAATCATGATTTCTTCTTTTTTTTCCCACTTGGGCCTTAGGCTCTATTTTATTAGCAACCTCATATTTGAGCAAAGATCATCTTGTTTTTTTACTAATAAGTGAGTTTATCCCAAATTCTTTTCCTTTCTAGTAAAAATCTTAGACTCTCTTCTCTTATTTATTTGTTATCCCACACAAGTATCAGACTAATTATATTCCATATCCATTTTGCCCGAACAAAACAGGAAAATATATTCTATAGCCTTCTTGCCCAAACAAACTAGAAAAGGGGGCCTTTCCAGGCTTTGAAACAAGGGAATTAGTACCATACAAAAAAACTATCGATTTAGAGAGAGGGTATATTATCAGAAACCAAGCACAATATTTCCTTGGGAAGCAGTCAACTTTGCCACCTATGATTGATGATCACCACGATTAATTTGAATAGGAGAAATTACTTAGAATGGTCCTAATCTTCCAAAATATTCATCAGAAGCTTGAGAAAATTGGGTTACATCATAGAAAAGGTGAAAAAGGCTCCTATAAATGATCCATGTCGAAGTGAATGTGAAAGTGAGAATCTGACATTAATGGCATATGGCATATCAACAGGGTATCATTGTTCCTTAGAGCTAATATATGGGAGGCAGTAGCCAATACATACTTAGGGGATGATTTGGCTAGGATTTACCAATTCCATAGAGAAATAGTGAATTTGCCGTTAAGGGATGCAAAGTTCTAAGGTTTCAAAAAAACCCTAGACCCAATTTGTGACCCCAGCTCTCTATAGGGTATTGACTAAGGATCTTCCTATAGAATTCAGCAAAAAGGTTCAAGACGTTCGCCATCGGTGTGGATATCGGGGTGTGGGATGTACCAAGTCCAAGTGGGTGACCCTATGCAAAGTTTAGTAAGTCTTCCTTGCCTAATTTATTTATTTGCAGATTAGAATTTCTTGATTTGTATTTATTTACAGAAGTCCTATTAGTATTAGAATTTGAATTTGAAGGTTTGAATTCCTTCCTTGAAGAAAGTTTTATTTTGGCAATCAAAGTCAAAGATCGTAGATTGTAGTAGGTTTAGTTTACTATTTCTGCATTATATTGTGGTAATTATAACTAAAAGTTTTAGTTATTAATAAAGAAATTTTTGAATTTATACCTCTGACTTCTACATAGCCACACCTTTTAGAAGAGTCGGTTTATGCACACACCATGCTCCCATCACCTGGAGGTTGTTTATTGCATTTTGTGATATTTAAAGTCAGTTCCAGTAAGAGGACTGCTTTATCCCATAGTTGCTAGATCTCCCGAAATTGGTGGAAATCCTACTTCAGAATCTCAATCCGGTGTTTCGAGAAAGGGATCTTGAAAAAAATATCGATTCTCAAGTCTCTTGGATCTCAATCCCCCTTGTTAAGGATCTTGATCCTAGCCTTACCGAGATGATGATTTTCTAGCCAGCTTGCAATACAAACACTTTCAATATTGTTGCATTGCTGGCTGGTTATGAGTAAGAATATGCGTACTTTAAGGGTATGTTTAGTCCTAGATTTTATACACTCTTTAAGGTTAGGAGCAAGATCCCCAAAAGGTTGGGATTGAGATCCTTATCATTTAGGGATCTCGATCCTATACATGGTATGGACTATGCCCTCAATCATAAGGTTCTTCTAGCCTTTCACGATCCCTATCCTGCTTCTAATTCACTCTTCAACAGCTATGTTTTGTACCAGTCATGGTCACCTATTGGGCTGGGTGTTCTCTTGATCAACGATCTATCAATAGCTACTTCATGATTGTAGGTGGTAATTTTGTCACCTATAAAAGTAAGAAGTAGAGTGTTGTAGCCAGATCTTCAGCAGAAGCCGCCTATCGAGCATAGACAAGTGCTCATGTGAAACAATTAGGCTTCGTTTTCTTCTTCAAGAGATGGTTGTTCATGTATCAGCTCTTATTCTCATACATTGTGATAATCAAGCAACAATTTATAGTGCCTTAAACCCCATATTCCATGAAAGAAACAAGCATATTAAGGTCGATTGCCACTGCAAAAGAGAAAATGTCACTTCAAAGACAATATGTACTATATTTGTTCTCTCCAAGAATCAATTGGTAGGCATATCTGTCAAGGCTTCTAATCGGGCTCAACTAAAAGATATTATGCACAAGTTGGACATTTATGATTATAAGCTTTAGGTTTAGGGGGAGTGTAGTGATTATTATAGGCCCCACACCTATTAAGAAAATCTGTGCAGTGACTGTTATGGGCCCTATGCCTATTAAGGAAACATGTAATAACTATTATGGGCCTCACGCAGGTTCAGGAAATCTCCATGTTTTGACAAGGCACATTGACGAAAATCCATGCTTTTTTGGAAACCCAATTTGTACCACGTTTATATAATATCTTACTATATCTGGATGCTTTTCCTGATGTAACCTGTATGCATGATAGAGGTAACTTACATGCGTACTGACCTATATTGCAACTCCCATAGGGATGCATATATATGCATAGGGCACATTGTCCCATGATTTACACAATGAGAAAGGGAAAAAGACGACGTCCTTCAAAGCCCGATGAACGATGCCTACGTTTTTCAAGTACCAGAAGCTTTTAGCTAACTCTACTTTAAGGCAAGACACAAGGGTCTTACTTGCCCTTACTGAACCTTAAGAGTACTCGTATTACGGGGAGCTTCCCCTTCCTTAAGCTGACTTATATACAGGTCTTAATCGACTTAATGCTATATTTGACCTAGTCGTATGCTTAAATCTCTCTCTCTCTCTCTCTCTCTCTCTCTCTCTCTCTCCTCTCTCTCTCTCTCTCTTAACAGCTCTTAATCACTTTGGATTCATTTTTCAGAGGTAATTTTACAATTCTACCTAGTAGCAAGTATTGCGTTTTCTATATAAGATGGCAGGGCGCTTTTGATTATATTTCAATGCGACAATGAATCAAAGAACAGAAAGGAAAAGTTCCTTCTCATTGATTCGCCCATTTGGCAGAATATTATTTCTCTATTAGGTCTCTTTGCTCTAAGGAAAAGAAAAAAAGTTCCTTGATTATCTTAAATATGATTTCCAAGTGATTCAATCTGAGCATTAAACATTTCTTACCTAAAGAAAGAGGCCCAATAATTTTCTTATCTGAATCGTCTAAACATTATATAGACGTCAATAGATTCGTGTTCTCTTCTAGGAATCAAGGACCGAAGAAATCTTTCATTATAAGTTCATTGTGAAAGCACGTGTAGTAGTTATTTCTACCTCCAGCCAGCTTCTCTATTATGTCGCATGGGTTCCTTTCAAAGAATCCCTGACCTATTTTTCTTCTTTGTTGAACAGAACAAATTCAATGCCAAATCCAATCACCAGTATGTTTTACGGGAAGGTTCTTCCAAACCCAACCCCTGACCTAGTTTTCTTCTCTGTTGAACAGAACAAATTCAACACCAAATCCAATCACCAGTATTTTTTATGGGAAGGTTCTTCCAAACCCAGCCTTAATATTGCGTCCTGCAAAATGAATAAAATCTTTTATGCCTGAATCTTAGTAGAACATGCGTCCTTACTCTTGACCTATGTAACTTGGACGCATGTGTCCAAGATTCTGGGCACGTGCCCAAATGCCAGGGACATGACATGTAGCCAAAAACGAATTTCTACTTAAATGTTTTTGTTTGAAATTTTACTGTGAAAGTCCTTAACTTCACTTAATGTTTTTCACCTCCGATCCTCTCTAAATGATGCACAGAGTTGTCAATGTCTGAAAGGCCAATTATGGGGTTGTCATTATTGACATATATGTCTTGGAGGAACCCTTGTGTCAGAGTCCTTGTACCATAACTCCTAACACAAACAAGTGTCTCATAATTGGACATGTATCTCTAGAATTTTGGATATGCATGTCCAGATTAACTTTTGAGAGATGCAGGCACGCAGGCATGTCTGTACAATATGTAAATGTCATGCCCCATAGGGCACTTTTATTGATGACATGTTAAACATGGGATGTCCATGCCAGACATGGACTCACATATGAATGACCTTATAACATGTGGACTCATCTAATTTGAAGATTTTTTAATTTACTAGGGTTGCCTTAGAGTAACACATCTATAGCCACAACTTGAGCAGACTGGATTTATTGGAGTTTCCATAGACATAGCAAGAATTACCATCCCCTGATGCATTTTTATCTTGATTTGATCCCTTTCCAGTTGAATATCCCAAACTGTTGCTTCTGAAACTTCTCCAGACTCCACTTGCTCACAGAGAACCAAACGTTTTCTCAATTCACCTTATGATTATTGGATTGACCTAATTTCCATGGTTGGCGGACTCTGCTTTACTTATATGGTCTAATGTCATCTCAAAGAGAGGTCCAAACGTTTTCTCAATTCACCTTATGATTATTGGATTGTCCTAATTTCCATGGTTCTCGGACTCTGCTTTACTTACTGGTCTAATGTTATCTCAAAGAGAGGTTTTTCCATAGCATTATCTTCCCCACCTTTCCTAGGAAAGATATAAATCCCTGAGTAGATGGGAAACATCAGTCCATCCCAAAATTGAAAAAGCTTACCCTATTTGTAGTATTTACATAGATTGGTCTAGATGCTGCGCACCTAAAGACATCGATTTAAAATGGACCAAATACAGTGTATTATCAACTACTCAATAATGGAATTAATTAAGTGCTTTGAAGTTTCAATATAACTCTGTTTGCCTCTTTCCCTTGCTAAGTAAAATGTTGCTTTTTATGTTCTTTGATTTCAGTAGTTGTCTTGTCTCCGATTTGCAGGTTCCTGCAACACCAAATTACAGTTTGGTGCTCTACTATGGAGCTGACCGGCCTCTCAAGACAGGATCCTTATTGCATAAATTTGTAGAAGGAAGTGATGTGTATCGCAACGCGAGATTTAAGCTTATTCCGAGAATTATAGAGGTAAGAACTATTGGGTACTGAAGATATCTGTTTGCTCCCCAGAAGTCAGATAGGTTTTCTTATTGTCCATTATCCTAAATAGATTACTAAGTAAAGAAGTTTTCAGGGCTATTGGATGGTTAAACGTGCAGTTGGAACAAAGGCTTGCCTCTTAGGGAAAGCAGTTACTTGCAAGTTCTTAAGACAAGATAATTATTTGGAGGTAACCATCAAATGAATCATGTTTTCTTGTGGACTTTTCCATAATTGAATATTATGATCCATATTCACCCAACAAAAAATTTATTATGATCCATTGACAGTCTTCACCATACCTCCTCTCATTTTGTAGAGTTGACCTACGTACTGTCTCATGTTAATTTGTTGATAAAAATTGCGAAACTTTTAGATAGTGAGAGGCTCTTACATGATGAAGAAGTAGTAGCCTTTAATTGCATTAAATAGCTAATTGAACCTCAATTCTTTAGACTGATATCCTGGAATTGTACCTATACTCAAGATGTTGTGTGGTGCTTTTATTCTCACCCCCCAAGTTGCATGTTTGGATTGGGAGCTTCTGTAAGGAGCATACTCTAGCTTCAATTCTAGAGCAGAACTAGTCCTGTAGGCTAGGAACCACCTGGTTGTCATTTTGTTCCATCTAGATCTCAAGGTTCACTTGATCTCACTTGTGATATTTTCTTCAGACAATTGAAAATCGGATTTATGTAACCTAAATATTATTGATGGCATCAAGTATATTCCTGGGTTCTGGCGTTTTATTTACGATGAGGATAATTTTTCTTTTCTGTTTTTATCTGGACACAAACACTCTGTCCACTAACATAATGTTCTTAGATTGTTATTCGTCCAAAAAGTTAAATGATGATTGAGTTGTTGCAAGCTTGTATCTTTAATATCATTTGTATGGACCATCTTAGAGATTAAAGATTTCCGGCTATTTGTTTGTTTTGATACTTAATTGAGTTTCTCTCATCTGTAAGGACTACTACTTAAATTGTATGGACCATCTCAAGATATGAACCATCGTAGTTCTTAAAAGATTTATGACTATTTGTTTTCTTTAATTTAGTTTCTCTCATGTGTATGGAGTTCTGGTACTTCATATTGTTTCATGAGAACCAGATTTATTTGTTTTTATCTTCTTGTAATAGTTAAAAAACTTATTATTGAGAGAGTCTTCATAAAGGACAACCTTTCCTTTGGATATGCTCTTTCACTCTCTTTTGAAGTCCGAAGGAAATAATTTTTTTCCGAAATTCCATACCATGCAGATAGATGTGGATATTGGTTCTTCATCTGTTGCTAGGAGCATCATTGGTTTGGTCCTTGGATACATTACAAGCTTAGTTGTGGATCTTGCCATTTTAATTGAGGTTTGTTCTTTTGTAGTAAATTTTCTTTGGATTTTTTCTGTTTTTTCCCATTAAAGTTTGATAAATTATCTAGTGAAATGTTTGAATTTAATGTTAGCCAAAAATTAAAATCCAATCTTCTTAAGTTGATGTATCCAGATTTCTGTTTCCAGATGCTAGGGATGACACATAAAGACATGCACAACCTCATGTTCTTTTTGTACATTATACTGATTTAAATGTACAAGAGTGCATGCCGCAGTATATTGGAAACTCCAAAAACAATTCCTGATTACTAAATAGATTGAGTAGAATTGTCACAGATGGGATGAAGGGAAACATAGAACTTCAGAAAAAAAATGTGGAATATCTGATCGTCACTTTGCAACCAAAAAAAAAAGAAACACCAGATAATTGTTACATCAGTTCAAAACATTGTTTTTGCTGCACTTGAGGGGAAAAAACCAAGGCGTGAATAGATTTCATCGATCACCAATCAATATTTGGCAAAGCAACTGTGCCAAAAGATTTGAAAGCAAAGGACTTGGGCAAAACTAAGCGAAAATATTATTAAAACGACAAACCACTTCAGAAGATCATGTGCCCCCAGAGGTCTTCTTGCCTCATAAAAAGATATCCCAGCTAGGAATATGTGAATGATGTAACATTAAAATGAGAATGTAACTGGGACTAGGATGATATTACTTCCAGTACATGAGATGAAACTAGCTCTGCACAAAGCACTTAAAAGTACATGTGAAAATGTCGCTAGATCACTGCTATGTAAAAATCTTATAGTAATTGCAAGAATTTATTTACTAAAAAATTGGACCTTTTGTGCAATATTTTCAGGCCAAGGAAGAGAAGGAGCTACCAGAACATATACTTGGAACAGTTAGACTGAATCGTGTCAAACTTGATTCAGCTGTGCAAATATGAGGTTCATTCATACCCTGGCTATTCATCCCATGACAACATGTCTTATTATATTAGATTCTTGAATATTTCCCATGATTTTCTCAAAGAAAAAAAATGATTCTGTGCAACAATAAATATTTCTTATAATTTAATATTTTAACTTTTATTCATTGGAATATTTTGTCAAAATGACAAATAAGTGTATGTGCTCATGCTATAGATATTCGAATGCATTGTTCTGTAAGACCGCTCATATGTGGTCATTTCATTTAATTACTTTTTATACTTAACATCTTTTTTCAAACATAACAATGATGGTCCTCGAATCAGTTTCTTTTGTTTCGAGTTTCCCATGTGGCTTAATGAGTTGCCCCACGAATTTCAACGGAGTAATGGGTGAAATTTAGCTTTTATTAAGTATTTTTCCAGGGAATCATCCTTTTGGACCTTGCATTTATTGCATTTCAGGTCTTCAATTTATTGTCATTGAATTTGGACAAGCATTAATGTTAACGTGGATGCTTGCTGATTGCTTTTACATCGGCAAGTTTCTAGAACCAATTCCTGTTCTTTTATGACTAATTATAGTCCCAGTGAAACCATAAATTTCTGGACCCTAACCACCATACTTATAATCAAATGCTTGGCATGCACAACATGGGGCAGAGAAAATCTTTCAAATGTTTGATAGATCTGTACAGTTTGACTAGTCGTCCCTCAGAATATTCTTTGAGAAGCTCCAATTTTACTCATTGTGAATGAAATACTTCAATACCCTTAGAAAGTAAAATGCATGCTTTGAGTGAGAAACTCAATAGGAATGGCATAATGGATTCCGTGATGGGTGACTGTAAAAAATTACAGTAAGGAGAATGGCGATGTATGTGTGTATTTGTTGGCAACTGTCCAAGTAGCGTCACTTTTTCTTGCACTTCTTGCTCATTGTGTTTTACTCAAAATTTCTGTCTTTTTTATTTTGGTTTCCTTTTGTTTCTTTTCCAATGTGGTTACGGTCAGGATATGCTCACAATGGGCTGTCCAATTGATTTTAATCAAGGATCAATCATAGGCTGGCAGTCATATCCTCTATATAATAACAAATAATATAAAGGGGAGTGATTTCATACAATGGTTCTATGGTTATATAGTAATGTAATGAAACGATCATCAAAAACTATGTTCAAGCCATTTGTTTGACTTAATTTTTATATATATATGATTTTCATTTTAATGAACACACAAGCTCTAGTTATAATGGCAGTTTTAGGTTTTTCCATCTCGTGTATTTTTGTTGTTTTTTGCCTAACAATGAGGTGACTCTGTCTTTTGGCTTGCGGTCAATTCCAGAAAGCCCAAATGGCGTCATGATTTATTTGGGAATTTTTGTGTTTTAAGTTTTGTCTGATACCTCAGCCTCTGCAACTACAGTAAACAAAAACTTTAAAACCTTAAAATCTGCCCCCATTGGGCCCGGTTCTCCCACCCAATTATGCTCCCTCTCAATCTCACCCTCAACCCAAATCCCATTTACACACCCAAATACCCTTGAAACCCTGTTAGTCGTGGCACCTTTCAACCTCTTGGGTCCACTTGAACACGCTGTTAGACCTCCACCTGGACACTTTCCCAATCTTTCCCCCTATAAGTTTACTAGGTTCTTGATGCATATAACCCCGAATCTATTTTTCAATTTTCAAATTCCTCGAGAATAAAAAAGTAAGCTTCTTTTCAAGTTGGTTGATGGAAATTTTCATTAGTCTGGTCCAGACCGTTAACAGGTGGCAATTAGATCAAGCACAGTATATGCATTCAAACTTTTCTTTATTAAAACCACTTAGAATCTAAAATCAATCAAAATAAACCGTATTACAATCATCCTTGGTTGCCATAAACCAACTTTCCTTTATTCCTAAAGACAAAATACGAAGCATAAATAGAATCAAGAATAATGGGAAGCCTAGTGGAACTAGTTGACTAGGATCACCTCTCGCGCCCCAATCCGGACCACCTAGCTAAAGGGCACACCAATTTAGGAGCTTTGTTAAAATCTCCTTAGGATGGGAAGTAACTATGCGGACTTGATTGTTCCGGTAGAAAGCATTATCAATATTCAAGACTTGGGCTTTCACATAATTCATAATACAATAGGGCTCACTATTTGGGCGCGTGTGCCCCCGATAGGCTCTAGGAAGGGCATGGCATCCCTAGGGTTGGAGAGGGAGAGAGGAGAGAGGAGAGGAGGAATGAGGAGAGAAATGTGTAGAGCGATCTTTCTTTGTTTTTTTTTTTTTTTTTTGGTCTTAAATCACCTCCCAAGTCTATCGACAGAGGTATCTTAAGGGTTACGGTTTGCCGTCTTAATGAGATTCAATTGGGACGGTAGATCTCTAGTGATTTGTGTGGTGGCTTTAAGTCTTTGCCCTACATTCCTCGAATCAACCATTATGATGAAGAAAATATTCTAGAACTATTATCCAGCAGTTTCTTTAACTCATTGTCTTTTAATTAAATAATTTTATTGAATTTATTTTTAGTTTCTCAAAAGTCCAAGTTATGGAATAACTTTCCAAGAAATACACAAATCTCCTTCATTCTCTACAAAATCTCACTTCAGAAAAATATTCAGTCCAACTTCTAGAAATCAGGTGTGATAGAGAGAAAGAGAGACGGAGAAAATTTTAGAAGGTCACTTGTGGCCCTTGAGTGAGCCCCCCAGGTGTGGGCACATGGCCATTTGGCCCTCATAGTTTTAGTATCTCGAGGAAAATTTTAAAAGACAAGTAGTCTTTTTAAAGTAGCTCTATAATTTTAAAACATGAAAAAATGTTGTGTATCTATAAAAATCTATTTTGTAAAAATAAAATATGTGAAGTAGAGCATTTTAAATATTATTTTCAATGATCTATAATTCTTATAAAATGTGGATCCAAATTAATTGGTAAAAAGCTATGATGATGATGATAGTTCTTGTAAAATTTATTTAAACACAATTAAAATAGAATTAGATCCATTTGGTTATGAGTATACTAATTACGAAGGAATTCCACCTATACTAGTACCAGAGGACACAATCATATTTTCAAACCAATATGATGGAATCCATGATGCACATTATATCGTAGGGGCTAACGCATGGTCTATCAAAGATGGTCAATAAATTAAAGGAACACATGCCTAGTATGTGGATTTCAAGTTCTTCCTTTAGGCCAAGTCATATCCTACTAGACGTGCACATTGTCATGATGCGGCAGGGGTCTTCTCTTCCGTACATGTACACGTGTCTATTGTACGTCATTTTTGACGTACGTACATCCCAGGAGAAAATAAGGAGTGAGCTAGTGACGATCTGGTCTTGCCAGTGCCTAAGACACCGCCAGATCGAGGGAACACTGCAAAATAAGCCTAACACTAGGCAACCCTAGAAAAAGTACTATCCCGCCAGAAAGAGACCTTGCAACTACAGCCCTATGCTACGGGCTTCAAAACAATATCAGACCGCTGCCATTGCATTAAGAACCTTGAAAAATCCCCAGAGATCAAATTTGGGCTCAATCGGAACTCCTAGGAATATTCGAAGTCCAAATTACCATAAAACAGGTAGGTCGTACTCTATTGTGGTGTGGCCTCACCAAACCAGACCCCAATCATGGAGGTTGTGTTCTTCACATCTCGGGATGACCTGCAAACTCCTACACGTCACTTGTTTGAAGTTGGAGCAAGCTCAAATTCGAACACAAGCTAGGCCTGGACGACCCGATTATGTTGACATATGGCACGCGTTGTGAGGTGACCCAGAACCAAAACTTTTCTATAGAGAAGATGAGCTCGAAACCATAGAAATTAGAGCTTTTCAAGAAAAATATATCTCGAACTTCGTGAAGCAATAACTCTAGATTTGTACATCGGATCATCATAAATACAAGTCCGATGAGACCGTATCACGAAGGGCTATAAGATGGTATAACTTTTACATTCAATCCAAGGTCGAATAATCGCAAATTCCAAGATTGAAGAAAAGGAAGATCACCCGGTGGTCGGAATCCCTTTTTTTGGCGATCTCCCGAATTCAGAAAGAACTTCAAGCAAGAACAAAAAAGGACAAAATTTGTTACAAAACGACTGTGGTGCTGACTTCGTCGGGTTCCTGAGACTTCTGAGGTATCACCGTCCGATGTTGACTTCGTCGGGTCTTCAATTCGGCTGTGCGGACTTGCAACATTTCAATCTCATCCTCCATGGCCAGGATCTCGTTACAAAAACTCGCCTCTTCCTCCACGAGGTGAGCTTGATGAGAAGTGAGCAAGGCCTTTCCCTTCTCATAGCCCTTTCATTAGAGCCAGCTGTTTAGCTAAATTTTCCTTTAAAGCAGTCAGGTGCGTCTCATGGGACGCATGCACTTTAGTCTTACACTGAAGAGCCTCGGCTCCCCAATCTGCAAGACTTTGTAGCAACCCCTTCAACTGGTCAAAGGTTTCCTCATAATAATACATAGCCTTCAAACTGACCTCATAAGCCTCAACCGCTTATATCTCTCCCGGGAGGTCAGAAAGAGCACACTCCCTAAGCCCATGGGGGCTTGATTGAAGCATGCACCTCACAACAAGTGCCTTAAAACTCGGCGTTGACGGAGGCGGGGATGAAGAGCCCACTGCAACAAGTGGAGGAACATCAAGAGATGAATCCCTGACCATGAGAACTAAAGGTTCATGGAAGGCGGCATGAGGTTCAGATGAAGGCTCTTCAGCCTGCGTCCCTGAAACAAGCACCTCTAGGGCCAATGCTGCCACTGGCTCCGAAGAAGAAATTTCTCAGCAAGATTCTGGCCTCAACTCCACTTTTGAGAAAGTCAAAGTAGGCACCTCTAAAGTTGCCACTTCAACGCTTGAGACCTCATTCGTAGTCTCGAGATTCTCCCCTTCAGCAAAAGTCGCCAAGAAATCTCCTAGACTCAAGAAAGAGCACGCAGGGGACCCAACAAGACTTCCGGCAAGAGTTGTTGGTACCACCTCTACTTCAGAGGGGGGCCCTCCTGACTAACGCGTCAAACGAAATGAGGTCAAGCTTGACCTTTCGGGCCAAGCCACACTATTTTTGGCTCTGTTTTCGGAGCCGGAACGGATGCCGCAGGGGATGGAGTCAAGATTGTACGTACCTTCACTCTCGCATGCTTGGCAAGTGGAGGTGGCGGTGACGTTCCCGCAATGGACAAGCCATTTTTACTCACGCGGGTCCCTCTCTTCAAAGCAGTGGAGATGGACTTGGGACTATGCGTCTCCTTTCTCTTTCTTCCCCCTTGCTTCTCTTCCCTTTCTCTTAGGGACTCACTTCTCGGCCCAA